GGCCCCAGTATGCCTGAAATGAACTCTGCTGGGCACATAGGAAAGGGGAATCCTAGTTCACACTACCCCTTAGCTGAGCTTAAAGCTGGTCTAAAAGCCGTCAACAAAGCAGACACCCATGAGGATCTTTTGTGCCCAGAGATCATTCAAAGCCACTAAACATAAACAGCTGTGTTGATTTCCGCTCCCTTTCGAAACCCAAGACAAATAAAACCTCAGAGCTCCACGGGTGGAAAAGAACAAAATATACAGGGATTTTCTTTTATTTTTTTGGCTTAGATATTGTTTTACATGACACCATTAAATCTTTTTTTTTTAATTGCCTGGCCACTTTTTTGAAGCTCCACATTGTGTAAGATTTTTAGACATTCACTGACAAATTTATCAGAATTTTCTCCTCAAGGCAGTCTGGATCTGCATCAAATATGAATCTCACGAAGTTCATCTCCCTCAGGCTGCACCTAAGACTTTTAAGCATCATCATTCTGGCATCATTGTTTCCACAAAGACCATCTTTTTGAACTTTGGAATGTTGAAGGAACTCCCATTCGCAATCCTTTGCTTTTAGGATTTTATCCTTCCCAAGGAGCGGACCACGGAGGGTTGAGTTTGGAGATGGAGAAGCAAGTCTCCAATGGCATCTGGCCTGCAAAGTTGACTTCCTGCTGAGTTATCAAAGACAGGTTTCTAGAATCCCCTCCTACAACCATTTTAGCTCTCTTCTTGCCTTTGATAATTTACTATTGACTTTCAATCCTGTCTGGTCTCCACAGTACCATCTTCCTCTGTTTTTCCCAGAAGACGACCTTTGACAGAACTTCTTCCCAGGGCTTGTTTCCAGGTTCCTTGGACAGAGCGGAGTGAAGGAGAGAATGCACTGGGACTGGAGTCATGCAGACCTGGCTGTGAATCTGCCTCACCTCCAATTGACCGAGCAAAGGTCACTTCCCTTCTTTGACCCTCTCAGTTTGTTCATCAGTGAAATGAGCTTATGTGATGATAACTATTTCACAGGGTGGTTGTGAGGATTTGAGATAATAGAGGCAGAGGGCCTGGTGTGAGTCTGGAACCTGGTTGGTGCTATACTCATTCATTCATTTAAACAATATTTTAGTCCACTAAATGCCAGACAACATGCTAAGTACTCGTACTATAATGTTAGTAAGAACTAGGGTTCTTTTCTCATGGAGCTTGCAATATAGTCAGGGAAATTGACAATAATTATATAATCACATCAGTGATTGTGTAATTACTAACCGAGACACGTGCTATGTTAGCAGATGAAGAACCTAGGCCCCTGTAGACTGCCAAGGCAGCCAAGTGTGTCTGGAGATTTTATGTGTGGGATGACGTTGGATGAGGTCTGAAAGGAAAAGAGGGCAACCAGGCAAGAAGGGGGCTTTCATGCCTGCCTGCCAGTGTGCTTGGGGTGGAGGCTGGGCAATGAGCAAGGAGTTGGGTTCTCCCCTGCACACCCTGCCACATTCTCTCCTTCATACCAATGTGATAAAAGACAATGTCAAGATTTCTCCTCTGGAAGCTCCTTTGTAAGTGGAAAGAGTCCCATAGATGTGCATAGGCATTTAACTGGCTGTGTGATCTTGGTCTAGTCACATAACCTCTCTGAACCTCATTTCTTCACCTGTCATTACTAATACATACCTCCTGGGACTTTGGGGAAAGAAGAAATGAGCAGCAGTAAAGTAGGGTATAGTGGCTAAAAGGAGGGTGACTTTGGAGTATGCATGAGTTTGACTGCATGGCCTGAGCTCTGCCAGTTACAAGCAATGTGACTAGAGACAAATTCCTTGTTCTCTCTTTGCCTTAGGCTTATCATCTGTAAAATGGGGTTTATAACAGTACTTCTCTTATAAGGTTGATGGAGAGATTAAATGAGTTAATATGTGTAAAGCACTAAATCAGTGATTGATTCATGGTCACTGCTACCACCATTATGATTATCATTTTTCCTGGCACACAGTGAGTGTTTAAGCCACAATTCCTTTCCCACCTGTCCCAGTCACCACATGACCCCTTGTGTGGGTATGCCTTAAGTGTGTGAATTTCCATTGCTAAGACATTGAGTGAAAGCCCAAAACCTGAGGCTATAAGCCCAATGGAGACCCTACCTCTGTGAGGGGGCTCACAGGCAGCATCCAGGGTCTAGGGGAGGGATCTGAACCCCCAGGACTGTGGCATCCAGAAGAGCCACGCAAGGCAAAGAGGCTACAGAGAGGGTGACAGAAATGTCCTTGCATTTCAGCAGACTGAGAAAGGCACAAGGGGTCAGACCCTCTCTCTGCAGCCTGAGCCCACATCTGCCCACTCTTCACATGGGCTCCTACCAAACTTGGTAATAAGAGAGGTGCACCATCAGGCTTTAAGCATGTCTATTTCTCTAACAAATCTGTTCGGAGTGCTGCAACATTTTTCTGCATGGAGTGTTAAAGGCAGGTATCTCCTCACCACCACCACCACTGGCTGCTTTTGTCCCAAATGCCCGAGGTGCCTGAGGCCATCATCTCCAAGGGAGATGCCTTCTCTTAGGATACTTCACTTTCAGCAACTACCTCTTCATCCTGGTATCTTTCTGATTCTTTGAAATCCACAATCAAAATCAATGCATCATGGCCCAGGCACCATGGTAATACAGGTGCAGAAGGCCACTGGGATGGTGGCAGGGTTTGGGGTAGGAACAAAACAGTTATGTGCCAGAGTTTTCATCTCATTTAATGTCTCCAATAATGCCTGGAACATTTTCTCCCCTTTACAATGAAGAAACTGAGGTACAGAAGGTAAAGTATAATTTTCCCAAGGTCATATAGCCAGCGAGCAGTAGAACTAGGATTCAAATCCTGGATTGTCTGCTTTCAGATTCATGGTTTTCCAAGATACTCTATTTGATATCAGCAACCATGGACTTAGTTCCTAATTCTGCTTCCTGTTTGCTGAAGGTTATGCAAATCATTGCCCATCAGCAGTGTGGCCCTGATTTGCCATGGGACACAGAGTTGGCGTTCTAGGCCAGCTGCCCTTGCTCACACCTTCCTCCAGCAGGTGGCTGAAAGTAGGATGCTGAGGGCCTGGGCAGGAAGACAGCACTTCTGTCTGTGTCTCAGGGTGGTGGGCTAAGCCAGAGTGCACTGGAGTTCAGGTATGGAAATAGTATCTGGAAAAGCTGGAATTTTCTATGTGTTCTTCTCCTTCCTCCTCTGTTTCCTTATTCCCTACACACACAACCACACACACACACACACACACACACACACACACACACACACACACTCTCACACATGCATGCACTGTCCTCATGCAACTTGCATCTAGCAGAAAGGCATATACCAACTGAGGTGTTGAAATCCATGAAGAGTCATGATTTGGCACCTGTGGAGTACTTTTCAGCACTTTGGAATGACAGCTTATACATCTGCACAACCGCCCCAGAAAGGTTATATCTGTGCCACGATGGAGGGAGGAAATCAGAGCAAAGGCCATGAGTGTTTGTGGCCAAGCTGGAGTTGAACTTCTCAGCCTGCTTAGTGAGGCTTCTCACAGGTACCTCTTGCTGCTGGTTCTACTGTTTAAATTCCAGGTGACCTTGGGAAAGCCACTGATCCCTTTCAGGCCTCAGTTTTCTAAGCTGTAAAAGAGGGGGTTGGTCCAGTGGCTCTCAACCTGGGCTCTCTGGACTTACACGGTCTTCAGATATGGCAATGGCATTAACCAGGCATAATAATAGCTGCCATTTATTGAGGGCCTTAGACACATTTACTAGGTGCTTTATGAATAATATCTCCAATTATTAAAACAACCCTGCAAGGTAGGACTGTCATCGCATTTTATAGATCAGAAAACTGATCTTCACAGAGGTCAAAAGACTTGCCCCACATCACATAGTAAGTGGTGGAGCTGGTGTTTGAACGCAGGCTTATGTGTGTAACTGTTACTGCCTACTGCTTCAGATGGAATAGCCTCTCTCCTGGCTTAGAGAATGGGCAGGGTGGTGGCTTTCCAGCTCCCCATAACTGCTCCATCTGTGCTCATTCCTCTGCTCTGTGATGGGCCAGCCCTGGGCCATGGCACTGGCAGCTTCTGGTGGGCTTGTGAGCAGAGTGGACACAGACATGACAGGTGATACAGCTTCCAGGGAAGGAAGGCACAGAACCAGCTACTCCAGGGCTGACCCCAGAGGTCCTGATAACGTGGCAAAGCAAGAGCTCAGTGGGGAAAAGGAGAAGGCGGCCCTTCTCACATTCCTCCCTGCTCAGCACGGAGCTCTTGTCAGAACCAATTACCATCACAGAGCGCCTGTACCTCAGCGCTCTCACCCAAAGACACTGACTGACTTTTTTGCTGTGCAGAAATGTGTCCCGCACTCCCTAGGAATGCCTTCTTACTCTGGTTGATACAGGTGTTTGGTACTATTCCAATATTCCAATATCAAGTCCATCTTCCAGTCTAGTCTCCCCCAGGCTCTTCCTGCCCTGCCCTTCTCCTGCTTCCTCTCCCTAGTTTTTCTTTGCCACATGCTCCAGCCATTTCTAGATACACCACCACCTGTCATGCTTCAATACAAGAAGAGGCGGTACAGTTTAGATCACCTGTAATGCTGCAGAACCTTGGGCAAGGGACCCAACCAACTTGTGCCTCAGTTTATTCATCTTCAAAATGAACACAACAGTAGTCTCTATTTTTTACTTTTTTAATTTTAGGATTGCTGTGAGGATTAAAGAAGAAAATAAATGTAAAGAGTGCTTTTGAAAAGCTCTCAGATGATTCCACAGTGCATCCGGGGTTTGGGAATATCTGGTATTAGACTGTCATCTCTAAATGAGTGGGTGGAGAAGGCACCCTGTGTGTATTTCAAGGCTGAGGTGCTTAGGTAGCACTGTGCCTGGCACAAAGTTGATCTTCTGGAAATTCCAGATATTGAAGGAATTCTATTCTATTTATCTGGAAAATCAAAGGGTAAACAATCCTTTCCCTAAAGCCTGAAACCGGAAACTGTGATCCTGCTCATCAAGCAGATCCTGGGTGAGGACTCTGCTGTGGGATGCTGAGCTGAAAGGGGCCCTGTCTGAGCAAACACGCCAAAGGGAACGAGACTTTCAACACGAGACAGATTTTTGGGTAAGTCAATGTTTGGATGCTTACTCTACATTTCTTGTATTTTTTTGTCAGACTTCCAGGTTTCCAGGCCCATGCCAGCTTTAGACTCATAATGGACAAACACACTTTCTGAATCCTCACACCTAATTCCAGATGGAAATACTGGGAAGTGGTTCTGACCAGCTCTGCTGGGACAGAAGTTATTCTTAGCACAGTGGGTGTGGGTGGCAAGCCAGGTTCTTTTTTTTTTTTTATGTGACTGATGTTCAATTAGGCTGTGAAAACTAGGACAGCATTTCTATGTATGGGGGATAAGGTTGGAGGGGGGCATGTCCCAGCATCTCAGTTGTATATGGCATTTTGCTTTTTCTTTTGTGGTCTGCTTTCTGAGACAGCCTCATGTGAGGTGCTATTAGCATATGGAGTATAATGGAATTCAATGCAGAGAGCCAGGTGTTAGATCTGCATTAGTCAAGATTGATTTAAAAAAAAATGCAGGCCATCCACTGGTCTTTGACAGAACAGTAACCCAAAAGGACAAAACCTTTCAAAACACATGACAATAAAGGACACATCTCTCTAGCTTGCACCCTGCACCCAATCAAGACTGGAGCAGCTAGGCTGTAATCAAATGCATGCAGTGACCCAAAGTTAAGACAGCTAATGTGACAGGAAGCAGTGCCAGCAAAGCCTTGAGAAAAAGGCTGGGACTGACCAAACATTTCTCAAAGGCTTACTCTGCGCTAGACACTTACAGAGAACATCTCATTTAATCTTGGCAAGGTAGAATATTGTTTCCTGTTTATAGATAGCAGAATCGAGATATGAAGAAGTTAGTGGTTAAGTGGCTGAGCTGGGTTGTGAACTCTGATCCAAGCCTCCAGAATCTGTATCCTTCCCACTGTGGCATGTCCTGGGTCAAAGAGCTCTGATTCAGCTTCCTGGGGAAGGCCACCTTTGGCTGCCAAATAAGGGCAAGTGACTGTACTGGCTGGGGGAGTATAGCAGCTGCTGGGAATCCCCTTATCACTAGTTCTGGTGGCAAGGTGCCCCTTGGCCTGGTTCAGCCGGGAATGAGCTCCTGACTCAAGAAGCAAGAGCCCTCTCAGGAGGTAGTGTTGGCTAACTCTTTGCCATTGGCCATGGAGAGCAGCAGGTCACACCTGCCTGCACCAGGGGGCCTATGAGTGGGAGGCCAGGCTCCAGGGATAGTAGAGGAACATGTCAGTGGATCCCACAGTGCTGGCAGCAGGAAAAGTCCCTCTGCCACCCTAGAGAGGTATAATAAACAGCTAATATGATAAGGAGTCCAGCTTGTTGGTAAACAGACTTAGACAAGCTATGGCAGTTGGGCACTGGGATGGGCCCCTCCAATCTATGTGCATGAGCCAAATTGGTTCTAAAATCTCATTCTAAAGAAAGGAGAAGCCAGGTGCCACCAGCTTGACCCCAGTGACCAAGGACATTGAAAGTGATGTTGAGAAGATGACTTAATGGCCAATTGGGATAACACAGTTCTGGCCCTACATCCTTGAGGCCAGAGCTAAGTTACTTTGCCCTTCTGAACCTAAATTGCTTCATGTGTGAAATGGTGACAAAACTAACACCTACCTCCAGTGGCTTCAGAAGATGCTCTGCCCAAGCCCACGGCCCCCTCTTAGCATTTCCATGGGCCTCCTCTCCCCAGCTTCCGTGAGCTTTGTCGTGTTTGGGCTACTGGAGCCCCTTCCCATGTGCATGCAGAGAGCTGCACGTATCTGAGCATTTACTCCCTGGGACCAGCCTATGGCCAGTGGCTGACTGCAGCTATATGAACACCCAGCTCTCTGGTCTTGAGATGGGACAAACTCTGAGGTATAACTGAATCTCCAGAGCTCCCCTGCAGGGTGAGGCTGAGACTAAGACTTTACATGAAACCACACATCCTTGCTTAGCTTCACCGCTGTCCTGCTTTTGTCCTGGGAGCACTTTAATAAATCCTAGATTCTCATCTCAGTGTCTACTTCTGGGGAACCTAACATAAGACACCTCTTCACTGGGTTCCTGTGAACACTAAATGACATGATTCGCTGATTCATGTGAAGTGCTTAGTTCCATGCCTGGCCCACAGGCAGAAATTAGTAAATGGTAGCTGGTGTTTATTTTTAGATAGAAACATATGAAATCGCTAATAATGACTACTTTGATTCAAAAATGGTAATTTCATAGGCATCAACCTGAGGATATTTTATGGCCCAGTCTCCTAACATTCTCCCATCAGCTACAATGAGAACATTTTTCTAACAAAGACCTCAGCCTTTCCTGGTGGGTTCTCGACTCAGTGTATTTTTCCCTGTCCTTCCTCGAGTAGTGCTAGCCTCCAATGTCCGCCCCCACCTCCAGTTGCTGGCATTTGGATTTTACTGGGCTGGGACGGGGCACAGATGCACTTGTTATTTTACCAGAGGACCATGTGAACTCAACTCCACCCTAAACAGGAGAAAGAGCAGGGGTGTGGGTGGGGGAGAGCAATCGATGTTTGTGAAATGGAAAAGGACCTGATCATAAACAAGAAAAATGTTTTCAACTTCCCCCCAGGGCAATGTTTTGTAAATATATTTCTGTTATATTTTCCTGAAAAGATAACTTTGGTGGCCTCTTAAAGTAGGCTGTTGTGAACCAATCCTTTGAAGGGCCATGGTGTATTTATGGCACATTTCAGCTTCAAACACTGAACAAATGAATACTGTGTTTGTGTCAACGTGGCACTCCCGGCTGACAGTGACATAAAAAAGTGCATGGAAAATTGTTGTTTATATTTCCTCTAGCTATCACTGCTCCAGCCTCATGACAATGGGGAAAGTTTACGGCACAAACAATCCATCTGCTATCTCACCCCAAACACAGCATCCCCTGGCCTCCTGTCACGAGGGAACCCTGTGGAGGGTGAGTGGCCCACGCAGTCACTGCTTCAAACACAGAGGAAACCAAGGGCCCAGGCAGAGATGGGCTGGTTCCAGATAAGTGAAAGATAAAATAAACCTGAAAATATGGGGGGACACTAAATGGCTTGCTTGATCAGCAAGTCCCAGCCATAGGCAAACAGGGAGCTATTGAGTTTGGAGAGCAAGTCTTGGGCAGGCAGCACAACGTGTCCTGGTGGGGGTGGGGAGACAGCCTACTGTCTGGGAGCATGGTCTGCCCTGTGACCTCAGTTTGAAGCCAATTAAGTGTGCCCAGCACACAGATATGCCTCACCCAGAAAATAGTATAATTTCTATTTTATTTGCTTGTTCATTGTCCATGTCTGTCCTTCCCCTCACTGTAAAACATGTGCCCACACTTGAATATAAGCTCTATAAGAGCAGGGATTTTTTTCTGATGCATCCCTAGAGCCTAGAACAACTCCTGGCACATGACAGGTACTCAATACATATCTGTTTATTGAATGAGTGAAATATAATTGCCTATATGGTCAATACACAAAAATGCCTGCGGAAGCAGCTAATGACACCGAAGCATTAGATAAAATTCAATTTTGCTCATTATACTCAGACAGGAAAAATTCAACCCAAGTTTAGAAGGGTTTATAACAATAAGGCATGAAGCAAGGAATAGTTTCTGCTTTACCAGAAAATGCCCTTAACGAGAACATCCTTCTGTGGATGTTTTGTCTGTAGTGTTTAGATGTTCCCAGATATTCATATGTTTAGCATTAGGTAGCACCAAGCTATGAGCTTTCTCAAACAAAAGCAAACATTTGGTTGAGGAGCCAAATGACCCTACTTCTCAGACATGGGTTTCCAGGGGGTGCATGTGAACAGAAGTGCCTGGTGAGTCACCTGCAAGTCACAGATTGGGAAAGAAGCTTGTAGCTTTCCTTCTGGCTCAGAAAAGACCTGAGAGCCCCGCCGTGGGGCCCTGAGCAGGTGTGGAGCTTTCTTGCAGTGAGTCTGTGGAGCACAGCCAGAGCTGCTAGATGACCCCATTGATGTCTCTTTGGCTGGAGAAGAGCCACACCCGAAGCCACAGAGGGCCCACAGATGTCAAGCTGGCGCTCCGCCATGGACTTATGGACTGCGTCTCTCGTCATCATGGTTGGCCTCACACAAAACCCTTCAAACCACCAGGCCAGACAGTGGCAGGTCTGAGCCGTGTGGAAAGTATTCTCAGCCCCACTTCTCTAATTGGGAGCAGAGGCGCAGGCTTTCAAGCATTTAACTGTATATTCCAACACCCCAGTGCCAGACAGACAGACAAAGGTCTTCTGGCCCAGATATACCCAGTGTCACCCAGAAATGAAAGGGAGAAAGTGGGTTTTAGCCTTCTTTGCTCTCATCTCTGTCGAAGCTATCGTGCTCATGGCAGCAGGGACTGGGTGGGAGGCGGGGCTGCTCATGGCTTATGGTTGGAGTGGACCTCACGACCTCACACGTAACAAGGGTGCAAGAGTCAGGCGGGTGGGCCTGCCAACGTGGAACAGCCAGAGGGACACTCAAGATGTCACATTTCACTGGTGCAGAAGGCGGGGGTGGGGCTGGGACCTACTGAGTGACTGTATAAAACTGTCCTGTAGCCACTAACCACATGTGGCCGCTTCATACTTCAAATGTGCCAAGTCTGAAGTGAATATAAAATATACACTGAATTTTGAAGATCTAATCGAAAATAAAGAATGCAGAGTATCTCACTAATAATTCTTACATCAATTTTATGTTGAAATGAGAATATTTTGGATATACTGGGTGAAATGAAGTATATTAAAATGAATGTCATCTGTTTCTCAATGTTGCTACTAGAAAATTTTAAATTACAGTTATAATTTCTCTTGGACAGCACTGGCCTAGAGCCTCATTACTATTATCATTTTTTAAAGGAACAATTTTTAGAGCCTTGGTACTCTATGTGTGATCCCCAGAGCAGTAGGATCCTCACCTAGGAGCTCGTCAGAAATGCAGATTCTCAGGTCCCACCCTAGACCTACTGGAAACAGAATCTGCATTTTTAACAAAATCTCCAGGTGATTCATTTGCACATTAAAA